AACTGGCTTTGATATATCAATTTTCCTCTCTAGAGCGGCTTCATCTATAAAATGGAAATAAAATCATAATATATGCCTATTTCAAAGCTCACATATTATAGCAAAATATATAATGATGATAAATATAAAAATTTGTAATTATAATGAAAATGATTAGCATTAACATTGCATTCACACAGAAAAAGATACATGGCAAAGTGCAACTACAAACCACAAATCTCTACATGACTACGGAATTAGTTCTTTATGTTTGATTTATTTCATTCATCTTAGTTTATTTTTTCCACAAGTGATCAGAATAATCATATAATTAATTTGACCTTTATCAAAATCTCTTATATCCTTTTAATGCCTTCATCTAATTATTCTCCTTCTCCTCCTTTCATCTTCTTTCTTTAGCACTGTCATTTTTGCTGCCTTTTATTGAACACATACTGTGTACCATGTATGATATGAAGTACATATGATTATGATCATCATTTTATAAATCACTGTTATAAAAATAGTTTAAATACTCTCTAAGTGTACAAAATTCTTAAATAGCAAAGCTGAAGTTTAAAGTCAAATCTTCCTGAATTTACAGTTTGTGGTATTGTTATACCTCTTCTCTCTCTCTCTTCCAGAATTTATTGCACTTGTGTTTGAGACCTAGGCCTTATCTCTCTCCATATTTTCCATGCCTACCTAGATCAGTGCTCTGTGTGGAGAAAGCCCACGATAAAAGTTAGTGAAAATTAGCGATGATAATGATAGAGTTTTAAAAGTAAATAAATTAATACAATGGTTTTTTGTGTTAAAAATAGAGTCAAATAGGTATAGAAAATGCTAAATTGAACAGGATTTTGTACAGCAGGAGTTTTCAGAGATTTTAAAAAGAAATGTGTGGTGTTCATTAAAGATGTTTGAGTACAAAATTCTTGTTTTGGGTAAACATCATCTTGGATTTTGGTAAAGTTTAAAGTCATTTATAGCAGAAAGTGAAATTAAAATTGTTAAGTTATATTTGTAAGCAGAAAATTATTAAATTTTAAACAGCAAGTGAACATTTTCTTCAATTTAGGCATTTTTCAGAAGAGTAGAGCATAATTTTTCAGAAAGCAATGATGTATAAAATCAATATTTCTGCTAAATATGACCTTTAGTGTTTTTGAACAAATTCCTCATGAATGCCTATGGACTACATTTATGCTAATGTAAAAATAAATATATCATGAATGAGGTGCTTGCTGGAAGAGGGAAATGAAGACCTAAGCCAGCTTAATTTGTTAAGCAATGGTGAGGGAGGGGTGAAAACCAACAGTTACCACTGGTTTAGAAAAAATATCTTGAGAGAATGGTAGTTTCTCCTATTCCTAACCTCTGGTGTAATCAGATCTTGGATATAAATACTTCAGCAATATAAACTTATGACAATTACTTGCCCATTTAACTGGATTATATGTATTAGAGTGCAATTAGTTATTTCGAGTACACTAAACTGTTAGGTCAGTAATAATAATCAATATGACAGTTTTAAAGACAAATGATCAAAATATTTTTGTTTGATTTTACTTACAATTAAATCAGTGGTGGTTTTGGTATTTCATAGGGATAACCTCAGACATTCACTAGATTGTGAGTTAAAAATGGCAAGATGCAAGTAAGGAGTGGTGGCAGAGCCCAAAGTCTGAATAGCAATAATGGTGTTCAAAAAGTCTGCATTAGAAGGTATAAATTCCATTTATATATTCATTCACTCATTCCTTCATTTAACCAGATCTCCCTTGTTATCTTCAATGACTGCATAGAATGCCAGACCTCTAGGTACCACACCCTCCGGGTAGTCTGTGATTTAAAATAAAATATATGTGCTGTATTGGTCTCTAAGAAACTCAGTGATTTAAAGGGAGAGAGAGAGAGAGAGAGAGAACTAAACCATTCAATATAACACTGGTGCATTGTGGCAGAGGTGAGACTAAGCAAAAGGTGGAGGATCAGGAAGACTTTTCAGAGAAAGTAATGCCTGAGCTATGGCTAGCAGAATAAGTGAGAGTAAATGAAGCAGAAAAAGATAGTAAGAAAAAGGTCAAAATCTGAGGAGAAATTTCTAGAGGGAAAAGTTGTGCAAAGGAAAAGAGATTATAGAGATGAGTACTAAAGAATTCCAAGTAATTCAATATGGGATGGAAGTGGCTACATTTAGGGAAAAAGCAAGAGATGAAAGGCAATGAAGAATGATTGAAGAATTTATTTTTATTCTTTTACCTTTTATTGACATATAACACACATAAGAAAAGTGAGGAACAGTGTGAATATTCTTTGTAAAAAATCATATGAGCCCTCACATGTGACCTAACCAGGAACCACATAGAAAAATGGAACATTGCTAGCACCCTTTTCCAGATCCCCAACTCCCATGTGTAGCCACAGTTTTGATTTCTAACATAACTTAGTTGTGCATGTTTTTGAACTTTATTTAAATGTTTGTACATACATCATTTTGCTTGTATGTAGTTCACTTTGTTTATTCTCTCATTGCTATATAGCATTCCATCATGTGAATATGCCACAATGTTTTTATGCATTCTACAGTTGGGCATTTAGATAGTCTCTGATCTTTAGCTATCACAAATAGGGCTGTCATGCTCATCTAGTATATGCCCTTTGATATATGCATGTGTGCATTTCTGCTGAAGTGAAATTCACCTTTAGAAGTGAAGTTACTGGATTATAGTCTATACTTGATTGTAGAATTGTGCAAGAAAGTAACTGATTCTATTAGTCCTTTTAAATTATATTTTTCATAGCAATGAAGAGAATGAATTAAAGAATGGTGAGAATAATCTAGGTGAGAATTGATAAGGGTTTGAATTAATGTATGTCAGTGAAATAGAAATTAAGAGATGGGTATGAGAGCTATTTAGGAAGGAAAATAATTGGCCTTGATAGCTTCATTGGACATCAGGTAGGATCAACATGACTTCCAGGTATCTAGCTGGGTGCATATTGGTGCCATATAAGGAGAAAGGGGATATAGGAATGAAATGAATATGCTTCCAGGAAGATGTTAGTATTTATTTTGTACGTGAGTAAATAGAAACTGACATAGATGATAGGTAATAAGTGGCTTATTTCCTCCAAGATGATTTTTACCAATTCTTTAAATAGCTAGAATTGTCTCCAGGTTCATTTATCAATTGCCATGAATTCTAATAATTATATATTATAAAAATTATATTCATTGACACCCACAGAGAGCTAAAAAAGACCTGGTTTTCAATCTACCTCTGTCATTTATAAATTATATAGACTTAGGACAGTTTTTTAAGGTCTAAGAGGCATTTTTTTCTTTTTACCTGTAACACAAGAATATACATGTTCATCTTACATAATTCAACAAGATGAAATATATAAAGCATTTATTAGTTTCTGACATAATAATTTTAAATGATAGACATTATTATTGTTACAGTTATATCTGAATGCTTTTTTCATTTAACGTTTTTCTTGCTTTGTTTAAAATGAATTAATTTTTGCATTTTTTGGCAGCACAAATGGGATTAACACAGTTCTGTGATGCAAATTTTGTAAAGAATACTGCTGTAAAATGAAATGTAGATTGATCCCATGTCTTGGGAAGAATGTTAACAGAACTAATGAACAGGCTACCGAATTGCTCTATATCTAGAGAAAACAGATTGTCTAGGTCACAAAGTTCAGAATCAAAAGAGCTAACCAAGTGCCCACAGCTGTTGAACCAGGGGCAGACCAGGCATGCTGAATGAGAATGGAACTACCACTAATTCATGGAATCTGCCTCTTCACCCACACACAGTAGCAAAGATTGGCATGGTTATTGTTGAAATCCAGCCCTGGGGCATTGATTTAGGAAGTCTGCGGGTTTTCTGAAAGGTGTATAAGTTTCCACCATGACCATGTGTACTGAACTTCACTGAATCTATGCATACTAGTCTAGATTTTCCCAGACAGTCCTGTGCTCCTCATCTCAGTGGCCTAAGGATATACCAGCTTCTGCTGCCCAGATTCACTTTATAGCAATCTATTTCCACAAAAAGTCTAGCCAGAGGGATTAACAGGGAGAGACAATATTTGTTCAATTTCTTTCAAGTCTGCTGCTTAATTTCTTGCCAAGCGAATGATTTTAGATGTTTGGCATGTAGGCTAATATGAAGGGACAAAGCAGGAATCCCAATCCAGCCATGTATTCATAAACCCGGAGAAAAGGGTTTTCTGACCCTAGTTGCAGAGAACCCCCTAAAGAGCTTTTAAATATTATCACTGGCATGACCCCACCAGCCAATTAAGTCAGAATCTCTGGGGGTGTGTTCTGGAGACTGCGTTTTCTTCTTAGTTCTCAAGATGATTCTAATTTGCATTCAAGGTTGACAATAATGGCTTTATCTTTTTAAGGTTACTTAGAGACTATGCAAGGCCTCTTGGAGATCAGCTAATCCAATATGCAAAACAGATCAAAATAGCTTTGGTTAACATGGGGAAGGGGTTTCCAGATTCTTGTCCTCATACATGAACCAAGGAGAGAACTATTCAGATTATTGAATTGAAATGATTTCATTCCATGTTTATTATTACTAAAGTGAGACTGTAAATCAGAACATTTAGGATCTGTCCAAGCTATGCAGTCATGCCTCCTGTGTTTTATTTTTACATATTGCTTTGGTCACGTTAAAATTAATCAAGGGCTATTCATCTCTTAAAACGGCATCTAACATTATAACTATAAGGGATTTGAAAACATCAAGCTCAAGCAGTTTTTAAACTAGCACTAATTTCATATGCCATTTTCATCATACGCATTTTACACATAATGTTTGATATTTCCGTCCTGCTTTTGTTTCAAGATCTATACCTGGGCTAATTTGAATGGCGTGTTGTAGTATCTCATCCAGGGGAGACTTCTACCATCCTGTGTTTATGGGATTTATGCAGAAATTACTTAAAAGGTCATTGTACCTATGAATGTTCTTTTCTAATCTTGCAAGTGATGAGGTGGAAGAAGGCAAAGACTCTCTGGTCATTGCAGAAGGAAGGATGAGAGCACAAGCCTGAGGAAGAGCAAAGGAGATACTGGAGCTGAATATGAAGTAAGGCAGCTGCTAGTTGTTCTGTAATGAGCAAACTGATTATTTTTTTATGTAGCCTCTACTCACATTTTTATGTTTGATTTTGTCCTTTGATTGTAATGACAGGTTATGGTTACACATTATTAAAGATGAATACTAAAGAAGTGACTGAATAAAAAGGCAAGAAATTGAAGATGATTGGTATCATCCCAGCAGAGAGGGAAGGCAGAAGACAAGGTCTTTTTTCTCAGTCTCAGATTCTGTATACAACTCACCCAGATATTTTGGAATAACCTTAGGATATTTTCTTTCTTCAATGGTGCATTTGTGTTACCTTCCAATGATCAAAAACTATGGATGGTGGAGGGAAGATGAACCTCTGCAATCCAGGAGCTACTGAACATATTCATTTATAGGTAATATGCATTATCTGGGCATGCAGTAGCACTTATTAGACAATTAAGTTCTTCTCTCAAACCATTTATGCATTTCCAGAAAGATAGCCACTACTGAATCTCTTCTGAGCACAAAAGGCTAATCAGTTTTTATGTCATGGAAATGCTGTACATATCAGGACTGATTTATCTAGAAAAATCTCTAGAAGTATTCAGGAATGAGAGAATTCAAGTCTAGACATTCGGCCTGATATATGATCTAAGGCTCCAATTGGTTTGTTCTCAAAATTGGGGCATGTTTTTGTCTTTGAGATACCTATATTTTTCATATACTAGGGAGAAACTTTTATAAATGTACACCAAAAGTCATGTTCAAGAATTTTCATAGCAGTGACATTTATAATACCAAGAACAGGAAACAATTTAAAGGTCCTTTGAAAGAAGAATGAGTAAACTGGGATAAATGTAAACATTGAAATACTATACACTAGTGACAGTGAATAAGCTGTTTGTACATATCTTAGAAAAGAATCTTGTAATATCAAGTGCTGATGAATTAGTATGACCCATAAGTACCACTAGTAGAAATGTAAATTAATATGACCACTTGGAAAATAATTTATGATTATCTTATGCTGTTGAAATGTAATAAACATTTGTGGAGTGTTTACTACATGCCAGTTATTTTCCTAAATGGACAAATGCTAAGTCATTTTACCCTTATAACTGTGTGGTAAGTACTGTACTTATTTTTCATCGTTTTATACATGAGGGAACTGACAGAGGTTGGGTAACTTAGCCAACTTCATAAAAGATAGGAAACTATGCACATTATATAAAATAGGTGAAAAAATAAGCTTATGAAATACATTCTAACTTTGTTAAACAAAACTTAGGCAAGACAAAAAAAAAAACTAGTAGTTATCTTTAAGCAGTAGCATCTTGATCTTTTTTTCCCTGTGTATGTTCAAGGTTATCTATGATGATTGTTATTTTTATAATCAGAAGAGTTTTTAATTTACTTCATGGAGAAGATAATACAACAAGAGCAAGTATTAATATATTAAGAGCCATATGTCCTGGTTAAATCTGTTCATTCATTAATTCAACCAGGATTTACTGATTGCCTACTTTATGCCTGGCACTGGGGATGGGTGAGAGGGTTAAGAAGAAAAAGTCTTATTCCTTTTTATATAAAATGTTTGTGCATTTTATCATGACATAAGTTTGCCAACTTGTGACTCAGAATATAACAAATTTAAACATTTAAAATAGTATTTCCAGGGCAAACTCAGCAAATTCTATCATGTACACAAAATACATGGGATATCCATATAGGAGGGGACACAAAAAAGAGTAGAGGAGGCATGTGATAGCTTTTTTGAAATATTTGAAAAGTTACAATGTTGAAGAACATGTGACATTTAGGCTCATTTGGGGGAATGAATTAAAAGGAAAAATGAATAGAAGTTTCAGGGAGTCTGATTATATATATGGAAAAAATCAAACAAAATAATATAAAAGTATTATAGATACTCCTGGGAGGTAGTGAGTTTATTGTAATGAAAGCACAAGCTTAGTCTAATCATCACTGACTAACAGACATATCTGTGATTAGGTGGGAGTGCTGTGTATCTATGCTGCTCAATATCAAGCTGCTAGCCACGTGTAACTTATGAGCATTTGAAATGTGACTGGTATAACTGAGGAACTAAATTTTTATTTTATTTAATTTTCATTACTTTAAATTTAAATTGTGGCATCTGTATTGGACAACACGGGTATAGCAGACCTCTTGCAACAGATTTGAATGGACAACTTGAGTATAGCAGACCTCTTGCAACAGATTTGATATCCTAGGAAGAAAATGCTGATGAACACATATCATTCAAAGTACTTTAAGAAAAACATGTTTGCCAAGTTCAAAACAATAGTAAAAAGCAGATTGTTAAACATAATATGCATATGCAGGGGCTATAGAATATTTTGGTTTCTCCGTTTTAGCTACAGGTGACAAGAGGACAAATATGTTTGAAATACTGTATCAGTGTAGCTACAATACAGATCACTTATACAAATCACAAATTTATAAATTAGAATGCTGTGACCCTGAAAGTTTGAGTGACAGGATTCTTGTCTTTCAGAATCTCATATAAACTTTTAGGCAGCGCCTGAATATCAGAGTATCATCTAAACAATGCCAGTTTTAAAAATAGCATATGTTAGTGTGAACACTGTAACTCTGGTATGCTGAGAGTCCAGTCTGCATTCCACCTTGCTACAGTGACTTCTGAAAATGTGTATAATCCAAGAGGACCCTTTGAACACACCCAGGGTATTAATGCAATTGACATGTCCAGGAATGTCGAAGGCCTAATGTGCATTAGATGTATGCACCAGAGATAAAGCTTGAAACCCCAATTGAGTTTAAATAAATTTTATTATACTATGGTTACTGTGAAAGAATGAGCAACATTAGAAGGTTTGTTTCTATAAAACATTCACACAATGAGTAAACAGTGAACTATGTCTTTTGGCAAGTATGTTACTATAATAAGCAAGTCTTTGAAGAGAGAACTGCAACTTCAAAACTAGTTGCCTGGGTTATAACAAGCATTAATGTCAGGAAAGTAAATTAAGAAGTGACCTCCAACAGCGGAGTCTTTGTCATTTAGGTTTAGGCAACATTCTTTGTCGGCCTCAATGTGAGTAACACTAACTGTTGACCTTTTGCTTTGCCTTGAAAGGTCATTAGGAAAAGTTAAGCCTCCTATGTGTTCACCTCTTTTGAAGGCTGGAGCTCTCAACATTCCATTTAAGAGGTTATCAAAGGGTAAAGTCGGGGGAAAAAACGTAAAGGTCACTATGAACTTTCGATCTGTAAACTACATCAAGGAATTCAAATTGTCATCTGTCATTTAGCTGTATAATTAGAAATACCTTTCTTTCAACTTAATCCAAATACTGTACCTCATTGTGATAGCAACAGTATGTTGCCTTGACCAATGCATGGCTGTGTTTATTTCTATACTTCAGTGTTTATAAATAGAATTTCCTGTTTCTCTAAGCTCTAGGCTTCCGTTTTCAGTGGCTCTTCCATGTTAAAGACATTTCAGAAAGCCTCTCAAACTGAACTGCTATGGCTGTGAAAAAACATGATAAATAAAAGTAATGGAGTGTTATAAAGCAGTTAGGAAAAACACTGGCAAATATAAGTGAGAATAATTCATTTTGATTTGGAGGTATGTTTTGGAACCATGTGTAGGAACCACAGAAGAATAGATATTTCACGTATGAAAAGTTAATTCTAATTGGATGCTTGACATTACAGAGAGAGTGTCATAGTCTGCTTGGGCTTCCATAACACCTTAGAGTGGGTAATTTATAAACAACAACATTTTATTGCTCACAATCCTGGAAGGTGAGAAGTCCAATATCAAGTAACCATTCCTCTAGATAAAAGGGTGTAGAATCTGCTTCAACCTATTTTATCAAATACAAGGGGCCAATACATGCATTTATCAGTGTCTTGATGCCCTTATGAGAAAAATGTATATATGTTTTGCCAGCATTACTATAATCATGATTATACTTAGTGAAAGAAAAAAAATTTGTTGCTACCTACATGTATTGCTATAAATGGAATTTTGGACAAGATCATTTAAAATTCTGGATGGGCAATGGCAAGAAGAACAGTATTTGATTTTACAGGTATGACATTCTAAAACTCCAAATTCCTAGGTTTAGGAACATGTAACTTCAAAAGAATAATCTCAACCAAAGACTGTGGGTTGGCTTTTTATAGAAACATATAATTTCCCTGAAAGCTGCTATGTTACGAATTATATAGAGTAATAAGTATAGGCCTGTGATAATATGCTGTCTTATTTTGGACTTTAATTTGTATAGCAGTGAGTATAATTCTATAAAGTGCCCTGTCTGTGTGAACATGCACGCTATATTCAAATGCATCATTGAGAAGGTATTCTTTTTATATTTATTTAAAAATATTTCTGCTATTTACTAAAATAATATAGTGAAATGAAGGAAATATCCTATGTAAGTTTGAAGATAAAATTTACTCCTTCTATATTTCTGGAATTTGCTATTTGTTAGGATTAGGGATCTGTAAAAGCTGCAAACGTAGATAACCACAGAAATCCAGGGTTTCTTTTTAATCACTAAATGGATGCTACTGCAGACAGTTGGTTTGCTGTTTCTTAGCTCTCCCAATTGACAGTGATTTTTGTACATAATTCTATGGGCTGCTTCACAATTTTAACTCTGCTTTTTGATAAAGTATGTAATTTCCAGCTGGTTCATTGAGAAGGTCATACACATATTGTCTTGGTGTCATGTGGAAAACACTGGCTCATCACAAGAGCCCTGTGGCTTTTAATGAGTTTTATCATCAGACAGGTATTTGAATATTGTTCAGTAGCCTGTGTCTCATTATTATATTTTGTTTCAAACTTGGATTAAAGAGATATGCAAGCAAGATCCTGGCAAAGCAATGATATAATATTTGCTTTATGTATCAACCCTTGAAGCAGATCAAACTAAAAAAAAAACAAAAAACAAAAACATACAAAAAAACTCATGTTTACTAGTAGTATCTAATTGAATCCCCAACAAATACCAAGTATAGATCCTTTTAACATGGCAATCCCAGCATAAATAAGTGGTTATCACCACTAAAGTGGTCTATTTATCCTGGAATGAGAGAGGGATCACAGTCAGCAGGAGGGAGGGTAGTTTCTGAGTCATACACTCTGCTTGGAAGGAGAGATGGGAGGTGTTGTTAAAAATAATTTGCTATGCAGGCACTTTGGAAAATATACTTGCCTAGCCTCAGGGATTTAGAGATGTCTGGAGCTGCTGGCAGGGAGGCTGTCTGAGAGAGCATGTAAAACATGGTAGAATAAGAATGAACAATAGTCCTGTATTCAACCTATTGTGACTTCTCTCTGTTTTCATTTGTTTTCCTTGTTCCCCAGAAATAGTCATGAAATGAAGGGGTGAGAAGATGCCTACTTATTGGAATGCTCATAGTGAAGAGGAGAATTGCTCAAGCATCTCCTTAGTCACACGGCAACAAAGAACTCTGAGTAGCCATGATCCTCTTTCTTAATCTGTAATGCAACAATTTGGCGTGCTTGAAGCAGTGTGGAAGACTTTTGGAAGTAGCATATTTGGCAAAGGAGAAAATGACACAGATCCCCTGATAAAAATGTGCAACTCAGTAGAAGGGTTCTCCTCTTAACCTCCAGCTAGTTTTGTTTCTGCCACCCAAGCAAATCAAGGGTTTTCTCTTTTTTAGATAAGGTTATTATTATTACTACTAAAATGAAAACAATTACTACTGCTACTAGTAACGGTAGCTGGAATTCATTAAATAAAGACTCTGTTACGATCTGTTTTAAATTTCTTGTATATACTATTATTAATCCTCACTATAACTCAGGTATCCCAGTCATCGCACATTGCAGGTGAGGAAACTGATTCATAGAGTTTAAGCTCATACAGCAAGTTAACAGTGGACCCAGGATCTGTACCTATTGGTACAACCCCAAAACTCAAATTTAGGCATCATTTAGTTAACTCGTAGGTAAGAGGTACTTAGCAGTGTGAAGAGTTTCAGTCTGCCAATCATGTACAAAAATCCACATGTACAGAGCTCTTCCTCCGAATCTCCCTGGTCTTAGCTCTTTTGTCCCTCAGGAGGCCATACTAGTCAGCTCAGCTTGGGAATCACCAGCCATGGACTTATGTGACCACCACAGTCCCACATTCTTGCTCTTTATAACAGGAATCACATACTCCCTCTTACTTCAATCCCCCTTTAGTGTCAATTTATTCTCTACCATTTGATCCAACAATTCCACTACTGGGCATCTACCCAAAAGATTGACAGTCACTTTATGAAGAAAACACCTGCACTCGAATGTTTATAGCAGCACAATTCACAATTGCAAAGCTGTGGAAGCAACCCATGTGCCCATCAATTCATGAGTGGATTAATAAAATGTGGTATATGTATACCATGGAGTACTATTCAGCTTTAAGAAACAATGGTGATATAGCACCTCTTGTATTTTCCTGGATAGAGCTGGAACCCATTCTACTAAGTGAAGCATCTCAAGAATAGAAAAACAAGCACCACATGTACTCACCAGCAAATTGGTATTAACTGATCAACACCTCAGTGGACATATAGGAATAACATTTATCGGGTGTCAGCAGATGGGGGGGGAGGAGGGGATGGGGATATACAAACACAATGAGTGAGGTGTGCAATGTTTGGGGGATGGTCACGTTTGAGGTTCTGACTCAAGGGGGGAGGGGAGACATGGGCAATATATGTAACCTTGACACTTGTACCCCTATAATACACTAAAAAATAAAAATAAAAATAAATTTTATTTTGTGCTGATTATATAATAAGGAAACCAATACTCACATGAATTGGTCCATGCCATTAGGAAATTTATAGGTTAGTGTAACTTGGATACAGATAAACAACTAGATACAATTCAATGTGATGCATAAACTATAGAGATAGGCACACATTTTTAAGCTAGATTTTTAAACTAGTGTGGAAACATCTGGGATCTCTCACTAGAGGAAATAGTGACTAAGTTCAGTATTAAACAGCAAAAATGAGTTAGTCAAGTGAAGAAAGATGGTGTGCTTCAAAAAGAAGAAATAGAATGTGTAAAGGAGAGTTAAAATAAAATTTCAATTAATTCTAAATGACTGAAATTTAGAATTGGGAGGAGTGGAGGCCTTTAAGAGGTCAGATTGAGGAAATATTTAGAGAAAACATCCAGAAGGACCTTAAAGGTCATCCTAAAGAGATTGAATTTTATTCAGTGGATAGTCTCTGGGTGATTTTATATACTAATTCAGAAAAGGAGTAATAAGGGCTTGAACTAAGGCATACTGTAGTTCTTTTGACTGCATAAAGGAGGTTCAAGAACAGCACTACAACTGTAGTCTCTGCAGTGATTCCTCACAGGTATTCCACTTTATCTGTACTTCAAACTCCCCAAGAAAGTTCCAAAGTTATATTTCCTTAACAGTTTGAGATATTCATGCTGATTAAAAGCTTCTTTCCAAAAATATAAGGACATTTTAACATGAAGCAGAAATTTAATAGTTATTTGTGTGTGTGCGTGTGTGTGTGTGTGTGTGTGTGTGTATGTGTGCATGCTAATTTCTATCAGACTTATTCATGTCCTTAATTATTCTTGAAAGCAGAGAGTGATGAGCCTGACCTTGGGGAAAAGGTAGGCTGCCTTTCTTGGCCACTTGATATTTGAACAGCTTTTAACATGCTGTCAAATAAGGAAAGAGAACGATTGACATTGTACATATATTAAGGACCTACTATATACCCACAATTTTTCTCTGTGCTATGAAACATTAAAACAGGATATAAATAATGTCTCTGTCCCCAGATAGTAAAACATAATTGATAAGAATTTTTAAAATGTGTCCCCAAATTATTACAAAATATTTTGAGACAATACAGTTTTAAAAAACAAACAAACTTGGTAATATAGGCTGTATAAGCTATGGGAGTTAAGAGAAGAAAGAAGTCAAGGCAGGATACACCTGACTTATGAGTGGGAATAGAAGAGACTTTCCTTTACAAGGAAGTCCTGGCTGAGTAGCAAGTATGGTTTGTTTACAAAAGAGAAGTACCTTAAGTTTGGTATTGAGAGTGAAAGGGGCTGGGGTTAAGGGGTAGAGTATTAAGACCCTTTAACATTAGGCAAGAAATTTATGTCTTATTGGGTAAGTTGTGAACAGAAACTTATAATAATGAAGGCTTTTTTTGGAAGACTACTTTAGCAATTCTGTGTAGATTTGCAGCTATGTGCCTTACTGGATTTAGCGACTTTTCACAGTGAATGTCTTCACTCACTGTCCTTGCCTGGCTTCCCCTAGGAAAGAAGAGCCTGAGTCAAGGGCTGGCATGGAGGTAATTTAATTTGAGACTTTTACTCCAGTGATCGGGAGAATGGGGGCTGAGTAGAGGGAAATAGGGATAGAGGACAAGACAATTCAATAAATACTAAGCTGTCTCTGAAAGGGCTTCTGGGACTGATTAGGCTGGGACTTTCTGAGGACTTATCTGTCCCACCCAAGGGACAGAAAAGAGAGCATTTGTTTACATTTGCTCAATTGGAGTAATAACTCCCTCATTCTTTGCATTGCACTTGCATGAGTGCTTGCTGCTGAGTCAGAGAAGCCCAAGAACAAAACATGAGAAATTCTAGGTAGAGCTGAGTAGGTGCTGTCCTCAAAGACTGTGCATAGAAAGGGCTGGACTTTAAGATGGCCTGAAAAGATTTGACCGAGATCAAGATGTATCAAATAGACTCCTCATTTCATTTTTAAGTAAAAATATTAAAGGATTATAAAACATATACAAATTTATTATAGCACAAGTATCATTTTAATAACTGGCTAACAAATTATTACCTAGAAAGCATTTGGACATGTCTTTTAATGAATATTTAAAAATGGTTTATTATTTATATCCTTCTTCTCAAAGCCTATTATGGTGCCTGGTATGAAGTAGGTATTTAGTAATGATGTATGGAAGAATTAGATGTATCACCTCATGCAAACAGGTACTTTCAAGTGGGTTGAAAGTTATATTCCTCAGTGAAGTTGGGGTAACAATGGTGTCAAGGAAGAGAGCTCCTTATTTTAAAATTTAACTATTTTGTAAACATTTACAGATGGCACTGGGGAACCAAATTATTTCAAAAATTATTTAAAATAGTAATTGATTAGATTTTTTTCCTTCTAAACTTTTTTTATATATCTATTGCTTTTAATTAAAGAGGTAATTGGCAGTTGATCAATAGGCACGATTTTGATGAACCTGTTTGGCTGAACCTTCCATGTGATGGAAATCTGGTAAGAAGGAAGCCAGAGGTTTGCTTGACATGTCAATCTAAATCACTTAGTTTTTGAAGTCATGTTTTTTCTTGTAAAAATAAAACCCTTATTTAACAGTTTCATAATCTGTAGTAACCAAGATCATGTGCAACCATGAGTGCAAAATATGAAAAGCCATTTAAGAGTTATACAAAGAATTAATAAAAGGATTATTTTGTAAAGTTTCTAATCTGCTAATAGTACTTCCATATCATATATACAGCTTATAGTATCATTTGTAAATATTATGCTAAAGTGAAGGATTTCAAGATGTGCAATTATATCTTTTGCATTCCTTTTTTAATGTATTTTGTTCAATGAATACATCAGTAAGCAATAATTTACAAAACATCTGCTATGTGTCCACTCAGCAGTTTAAAATGCCTGCTTTCATCTATACTTGTTTTTTTTTTTCCTTGCCTGAATGAGGTAATTTACATACTAAGAAGTTCCTGGACAAAAAATTTAAGAATTAAAACACAGTTATTTGATCTAAAATGCCTCCGTCATGCTCTGGAAAATCTCCTTCCAGTTTTACTCTGTCCCCTACAGATTCACCTCCTGATGGGAATGCTTGTGCACTGCAAAGGCAGGTGCAGTTTGGGCAGGGAGTAGGTTGTGAGCCCTTCTTCCTGGACTTCAGTGGATTACAAGAAACAATTGTATTAGGTTTTCTGTTAGCTACAGAGCTTTACATCTGAGCAGTCCTCCAGAAATATATTTGTTGGTTTTCATTTTGCATTATCGTGTGGGCTTGCAAGCTCCAGGAATTTCCAGTGTTCATAAATATAAGCAATAGAAGCTTCCTCTTTCATGGAGGTTAATTTTAATTTCAAGTCATCTTAATCCTCATAACAATATATGGTTTAACTTTAATGAAGTAATTCATGACAGACCAGAGAGACATCACCAGGGAGCCAGCTGAAAAGTGATTCCTTTTTGTCTCAGACTGTATTTTGTCAAAATCCTGGTGAAATTGGAAAAAAGGAGTCTGTACTGGCCAATAATTGTTTATGTAGCATTGTAAAACTCTTAGTAATCCCATCTAACATATTTAACTTAAACCTTACATCCCAATATTTAATGAAATTATATCTTTCCCAGTGCATTCATATTTTTATATCAGAAGTCTCATATTCAAGAAACTTGCTGCTTAGAATATTAGAGCTCAGCACCTAATTGTGAAGAGTGATATAGTAAACCAATTTTAAATATAGATTCTCCCCTACTTTCATATATAATATATTGATAAATTTTGAATATTGGATCAAACAATGGATATATTCTAAAGAGAAGAGTTTTAAAATATTAAAAATTCATTAGGTTACTTCCATTTTTAGATGAAATCTCCATCTAAGGAGATGGCATCACCACTTATCTATTTGCTTAAGCCATCAATATCATTCTTTGTCTTCATTTTCCTATACCACTAGTCCATCAAGTATTATAAATCTGTTTCCAAAACATATATCTTCATTTGTATATTTTCAGGGCAATACCATATTCTAAACATGTTATATCTCATGTATAATGTGATGATAATATTATAATATTATAATAAGGATTGTTCTATCCTTATAGGTGAAATCACACAAGGAGCAGCCCTCAGAGAGAATAGATGATAAAGATATTAAAGCTGCATACTCCCACAAATCACTTTGCGCGGCCAAAACTGATTGAGATTGGATGGATCTGTTTATAAGATTTTGTTAAAATGAGTTTTAATATTAATAGTACCTTGATAAAAAGGTAGAATTTGGATTCCTTTTTTAAAAAGATGCTCATGTATTATTAGTAAGAGATAGTAAAATATTTTTGTCTAAATTTTGAGTTATCTACAAAAAAGGGTGAGAAAGAGAGAGAGAGGGAGAGAATGTTCAGTTTGCCTCATACTGTCTTTATCAAGTCTTTTGATTATTTTAAAAACTAAGTCTTCTCTCTATCAAAGAGTAAGTTTTGTTATTTGAAATTGT